GAAAGGAAAGGAAAACGTCGTCGCCGATGCTTTAAGTCGCATCGAAATAAACATGCACGAATCCGAGTCTCTGTGTGCCAACCCTCCAGATGATGATGACGACTTTGATGTAGATGACTTCGTTAACCAATCTTTCGAAAAAGAAACTGGTCAATCAACCCAACATTCTTCTCATGAAAATCCCGTTGCTCTCGTCCCATTCTCAGAAGAACCTATTAATCATTTTTCAAATCAGATCATAATAAATCTAGGCACCGATTTTAACACCAAATACCGTCTGAAGTTCAAGTCCAAACACGAATATCTCATCACTCTTTCCGAAAAAGACTGGAAAACCGACATCAAGACTGCTCTCCATCAAACTATAGCCCCCAATCAACGATACTACATTCTGACTGACAATCCCGATATCCAAAAATATATTTCCGACTTCGTTCGTAATACTTATAACCAAAACATCCAAATATTCTTCTGCACCAAACGAGTTCAAGATGTAGAGAGACCCGAAGACCAATTACGACATCTCCAAAATTACCATAAGGAAAATCACAATGGTATTCTCGAAACACTTAGTCATTTAAAATTACACTATTACTGGCCTAATATGCGTTCTACAATTTCAGAGCATATTAACCACTGCGATATTTGTCTTCGTAATAAATACGAGAGACACCCATATAAATTACCCCTAAAAGGTCCACTTCTAGGACAAAAGCCTTTCGACATCCTTCATATTGACACATTTTCCTGTAATCGAGAAACTTTCCTCACAATCATCGACTCTTTTTCCAAGTATGCCCAAGTGTACAGTATACCTGACAAAATGAATACCACAATCCTTAGCAAATTACGTCACTATTTCTCCCACCATAATTATCCTCGAAAAATAGTCTGCGACGAAGGTACCGAATTTTCAAATAACCTCTTCAAAGAATTTTTAAATCTTCACAAGATCGAGCTACACTTTACGACAGTGAACAACCCGAATTCCAATAGTCCTATCGAAAGATTTCACTCTACTTTTACAGAAAAGCTCCGTGTTATGCACGACGAACGCCCCAAAGAATATTTTACTGATCTCGTTACACATTGTGTTTTAATTTACAATCAGTCCATCCATTCCGCCACAGGTTATTCACCTTTTTCTATCTTATATGGCCCATATGCAGAAGAAATACTTTTTGACAATGACTTACCTATCTACGAAAAATATAACCAACGACATAAAGACGAACTTCGACCTTTCATTGACTCTCTTTATCGAAAACTCCACGATAAAGAAACAGCAATTTTAAATAAACGCAATGAAAGACTACCCGAGATCACTCCTGCTCCAGCACCTGGCCAAACCATATATATTCAGAAAAATCCCCGAAATAAATTATCTGCACCTTACGTATCAGCCGAAACTACTTCTAGTAGCAATACCAAAATTCAGGCCGTTACTTCCAAAAATAGACCCACCAATACCCATCCTAGAAAAATCAAACGTCTAAGGAAAATACCCTTGTTACAGGATCGTCATCCTGACGAACCACAACCTGGCCCTTCAAGTGCACCTGATCCCGAATAATGGATACTATCGTGAACTGATAGGCCATGCTCAAGAGTTAAATCACTATCACCGACATATTATTACTGTTAACCTAACTGCTATCGACGCAACGCTTAAAATGACTCTAACTAACTTCCTATTCCTTAACAAGACTCTCACTACTTCCAACTACCGAATATTTGAACAATATAACCATCTCTATTCCGAGACACTTGACAATTTTCATAAAATAATCCGACCCCGTCAAAGGCGAGGAATTGCTAACTTTTTGGGAACTTTTATTAAATCAGTGACTGGCAACCTTGACGAAAACGATCGTATATTTTTGGAAAGGCACATCTTCAGTATCGAAAATAAACAAAATCGTATAATCAATGTGCTTAATAATTCGACAAGTTATGCATTAGAAACAATAAAAAGATATAATATTCTGATTGAAACCATAAATAATAATACAGTGAGAATCACACAAGATATTAATTTTCTTAGAGATGAATTCCAGCAGTTTATTACTCTTCAAAGCGAAATTCGTAATATTGATCGTTTGAATCAATTCATTTTAAAGCTTATTAGAAGTATAAACCTATCTGCACTAGAACAACCGAACATAGAATTATTTTCACTTTCCGAAATCACTGACTTAGAAGAAAAGCTAAAATCTTTATATAAATCAAATTCTCTTTTATCAGATAATTCACATCCCTTTGACCTTATCGAAAATTCACGTTGTTCATTAATTACCACAAATACTCAGTTACTCATCCTTTTCAAAATCCCGATCCTTAATGATCACTCTTTCCGACTTTACCATATTTATCCCATACATAATGAAGAAAACATTGTACTACTGCCTCCTGCAACTTTCTATGGAGATAATCGCTGGTATTCTACATGCACCGATGTAGGACCAAAAATCGTATGTCAACCCGCTTCCACCACAAGATGTCAGCTTCCCAGCTTAGAAAATTGTACCACTGCCAAGCTTTCCCAGCCTGTCATCCACCAAACAAAGAAAAACCTGATCGTCAGTACAAATGAGCCAATCCAAATCGTTGAAAGATGTTTCCAGACTCACCGAAATATTAGTCAAGCAGCAATTGTTTATTCTTCATGCCCAATCGAAATTAATGGACAGATTTACAGCACTACTTCAGAGCAAATCGAAGTTCCTGATATCATCCCTATAAAGATCCGCCCAAAGTTTAACTTACAGATCAACGAGTTGCAGCCACTCAAAGATGTACCACAGCTATCGGCCATACAGCCCTTACATCTAAGCCCTACAGTGACGTCTACAACAACTTGGTCCATGGCAACCCTAATGCTCATCATCGTCACAGCGAGCATTTACTTCGTCTTAAGAAAAAGAAGAAGACTCCAGACGCTTTTCTTCAAGCCGAAAATTTCCATTGCCGACTTGGAAAACCTAAAACTTCAAAAGTCCGAGGACGGACTTTCAGCTTAGCGAGGGAGGCGTTATAGGTCAAGAACCCGAGGCGTCAGCAAGACGACACCGCCAGTCGCAACGACAGCAGAAACCTTTATTAAAACTATTTTTCTTTTTATATTTTAATTCATTATCATTCCAACTTGTAACACGTTCATGTCTACAAAATAAATATTTTTTAAAAACTCCTTGTTGTGGCTGAGAAACATAATTCGCGCATAAAGCTAGGAGGAAAATGGAGACGTGGGTTGCAAGACATCACTCTCAGAAATGGAGAAGTATCTCTAGACATCTCCGCCAGGCACGAGAGCTCATTGAAGGGCCCAGTGCTAAGGATGGACGCTTCTGCCTATCTCTGGGTAGAGCCAACCTAAGGTTGCTGGTGGGACTGTTGTCTGGCCATAACACGTTAAGGCGGCACCTGCACGTGATGGGGGTGGCTGAGGATCCCTTGTGCGAACGCTGCGGAGTAGAGGAAGAGACCTCGGCGCACGTTTTGTGTCGCTGTGAAGCTCTGAGCTACTATAGGCAGACTATACTGGGGTCCATTACTTTGGACCCTCAGGACGTAAAGGAGCTTGGACTCAAGGCGATTCTCAACTTCGCTAAAAGGGCGAGGCTTGTGATTTAAGTATTGTAGAGGTGCATAAGGGCCCGCTTAAGCGGCTTATGCACTGGCTCCTTATGGTGGCCGGGATGCCTCTAAAATTCAAGATTCATTCATTCATTCAACAAAATGACATGTCGGTGACAGAAAACAAAAATGGCGTCTATGTCAAATTGACGTTTACTTTCCTGCGTCCCTATTGGACAACCCTTTATAACTGACTGCCGAGATACGTATAGCATCTTTGCAAAAATATGTACATATATTTGATGTCAAAGTACTACCTGTAGAACAGAAGAAAGGTATATCAAAAGGCCCAACAGGAGCAGTAAACTTACTCTAGCATAAATAAATATTGTCTCTAAATCTTGAGCTATATGTAAAACTAACCTATCGCTTATTTGGTGGCGTCTGAAAATTGTACTGGGAAATTTGGGCGAGTGTATCTACTGGGTTCCCAATATTACGAATTTCGCAATGTGGATGTTTCAGAGTGACCACAATGAAGCTTAGCGCGACTCTACTCAAGACCAGCTGATGAAATATAGTTCCATGGTGGGATGCATAGTGAAGGAATAGAAGGCTTTAGTGAGTATGCCGTTTTTGGAAAGCCTCACACATTGGGCAGAAAATGCTGGTAGAATATATCGAGATTGTCTGCCTGAGCATGTGAATGGAAACAAAAAAATGTAGGTACTATACGTAGGTAATAACAGCTAAACAGGATTCCCGCAGAGCTGTTTACAAATGGTCAACATAATAAATATAATGCTTTCTATCATTTCCATAAAATAGTGTATTTATATTATGCATTAGTGACCCAGATCAAATAATATATTCTATCTGTTCCCCGAATTCATTTACAAATGCATACGCATAATTCTGACCTATTGATATGCATTCGAATAGCGTGTGTCTATGAAACTCCACACGTATTTGAATATTTTTTTAGTGCTTTTAGCCCCAGTCAGATAGCTCTTAGGAAGAGAGCCCACATAACTGTTGGTGAGCCCGGGATATTCATTTTGAAGATTTTTTGCCGCCTTTTCGTCCAGATTTGAAGTTTCTCAAAAAAGGTCACGTCAACGTCAATCAAAATTCTTGGTCAGTAGGCCAACGCATGAGCCGCAAAAAGAAAATTAAAAACGATGAGGACGACCTAATTGATAAAAATAATAACCTGGATAAGTTGAAACCAAATAAAAATAAAGATCTAATTAGTGAAGATGACAACCTGAGAAAAAGAGAAATGTGGAACATACAACTAGTGGAAATAATGAGCTGAAGTAGCTACTTGATAGAAGTTCTTGAGTCAAAAAATACAATCATTTCAGAAAAAGAAAGATATGTTAAGCAAATACTAAAAGAAAATAAACGCTTGCACGAACAATATGAGTTCCCAGAGTAAAGTACCAGTGAATACAAAACCCCTGAAAACATTAATGGATAGACCTTTAGAGAATCAACCAGCTACACAGACACAAAAACACCTTAAGAACATAAACTTGCAAAAGATAGATATTAAATTATATAGTGTCAAAGGTAACCGAAATGGAAATACGGAAGTGACGTTGGAAGAAAATGACCTAGAAAAATTACAAACAGAAATTAGAAACAAACTGCACTCAAAATATAGAAGTTTCGAACAAAAGCCACTCAATCCGAACATAAAAATTGTAGAAGATAAAGTAATTGAAGACATTGTAACACAAAATCATTTCATTGCCCCTTTTGATTTAAGACTTACCGGTGTTATCCAAGACCAAGTAAAAAATAACTGCACAATTTTTGCTGAAGTTAAAGGAAAAATATTCAAGACCATTTTAGAAGATAAGAAAGGGAGACTGTTACTAGGATGGCATAGCCTTATTGTTTTCGGGAACAATCAAATTACACAGTGCAAGAATTCAAGTTCATGGAGAAACAACACATGTCCAAGATTAGCTTTTGAATATCAATTCACAAGATATGTTGAAATATGATGTTTTTATTTTTATCACGTTTCTGTGTGTAATGACATATCTTTATCACCAGATGCTATTTATTTCAAATTGATGAACTCTAGTACTTGTAACATTATTTCAGGTCATTTAGATGTGTTGTGCCTTGTCCCAAAAATGCCTGAGATAAAAGAGTACATAACGAATGTTAGATACGGCGCCTTTACTATAACCGCGACATGACTTAATGATTCAATTCCCGATACTATGGTACGTCTATCAGATTACACCTTTGTTAGGTGTGATGGAGGATCCCGAGGGGGTGTAATAGGTACTTAAAGACGAAACGATATATCATATGAGCTGTTGCCCACGTCAGATAACATTGAAGAACTTTTAGTTAAAATTAAAAACACTTTTGTTATATTGGGTGTGTGTTATCGGCCGTCACACACTTCATCGACATTTTTTGTAGACTTACTACAGGAAACTATAGAGTATAATATGCAAATTTTTGAGCTCATCTATTGTCTTGGAGACCTGCTGAAGCCAGATTGTCCTTCAATGCTAGAAGAACTTGATATGACCCAAATTCTAAATAAGCCCATACGAATATCATCTGCCTGCTCCTCCCTAGTTGATTTGATTCTCACATCTAAACCAGATACAATCGTTTCATCCGAAATCGGTGGACTAGATATTTCTGACCATGAAGTGATCTACTATAGTTTGAACATCTCCAAGCCAATAGAAATTTATAGAGATTTAAAAATTGCTAAAAACTCATCACATTTTGATTTAAGCACCATTTCTTAAGACTACATATTCGTTCTTGAAGATGTAGATAACAAAGTAAATTTCTGAAGATCTGTTAGTTCTACTAGACAAACATATACCTCTTAAAACTATCAGAATCACTAAGAAGAAAGCTCCATGGTTAGATTTAGAGGTAAAGCATTTAATGCATCTTGGAAATAAAGCAAAACAAAAGTTTAATGCCACAAAACCGCATGTCGATTGGGAATCATACAAAGATCTCCGTAATTCTTACCTTAAATATAGTTAATTTTACAATTTCGGAATGAAAATTTCCATCATCATGGAAAAAATCCATAGTTACTCCTGCTGCTAAGGTAAATGAGCCTAGTGGACATAATGACTTCAGGCTAATTAGCATTTTACCAGCGCTATCTAAAATTATGAAGAACATTATGGAATTTCAACTAAGATCTTTTTTGTTTGAGGAATTTAATCTATTTCGAGAAGAACAGTCTGGCCTCAGAAGCGGACACAGCTGCACGACAGCACTCCTTCATATTACTGATGAAATCTTAGGAGCTATTAATGGTGGAGATATGCTGGCACTAGTGCTGCTTGACTTCAGCAAAGTATTCGATACAATAGATCACACGATTAGAAATACTAAAATCTTGTGGTACTAATACCGAGTCAGCGGCGTTGGTGAAGCCATATCTTCATAATCGTACTCAACAAGTAAGAGTTTTTGGCACACTATCATCCAGCAAAATTATATCGTCGGGGGTGCCTCAGGGATCTATAATTGGGCTGTTATTGTTTACTATCTGCAATTCATATTTTCACCGTTATGTGCATCATCGTAAAATGCATAAATATACTAAGTGACATATAAATCCGAACACCCAGTTTAAATGGTTTTATTTTAATTAAAGTTGGTGAATGTATTTATCTTACTGTAAACAACAAGTGAAAAAATTTTCAGCCTTATCAGTTGGACATTCCGGTTTTTATACTGCTTTTTTTTAATTCTCTAACGCTCTAAAAATGAATATTTCAGCCGCAGTAAAGAATCAACGTTGGCGGATTTTGGTTCTTGACATCCTTTACGATCGGTTACGATGCCTAGAGTACGGAGACCTGTACGATTTCGTCAACTTAGAGAGTTTGATAGGGGCCGTATAGTGGGACTTCGGGAAGCTGGACTTTCTTTTCGGGCAATTGCAGTTAGAAGGCAAAGAAGTGTAGACACTGTGGTCAGGTGTTGTCAGGGATGGCTTCGAGAAGGCCGTACGCAAAGAGCAAGGGGCACTGGACGCCGCCGTAGAACAACAGACCGTGAAGATCGCCGCCTAAGATTATTGGCCTTAAGGGACCGTTTCTCCACTACCAGGTCCATTGCAAATGAATGGTTTGCAGAACACGGAAGACCTATTGGCATGCGAAGTGTTTACCGACGAATGAGAAGTTTTGGCTTGTTTTCATACCGGCCACACTGGGTCCTCCCTTTAACTCGAGAACACCGACGTAATCGCCTTGAGTGGTGCAGACAACGGTCACTCTGGGATCAGGAATTGAACAGTATTGTCTTTAGTGACGAGTCTCGATTTTGTTTAGGCATGCACGATGGTCGTGCCAGGGTTAGAAGGCGACGTGGTGAAAGGAGGAATCCACGGTTTTTTGTTGAAAGACATGTTCATCACACTGTTGACGTTATGGTTTGGGGTGCTATAGCTTATGGTTCAAGGTCACCTTTAATCTTCATCAGAGGTAACATGAACGCGCAGCGTTGTATCCACGAAGTTCTAGAACCCCATCTTGACACCCTGGCAGATCCAACTTTCCAACAAGATAATGCCCGACCACATGTTGCAAGAGTCACAATAGACTTCTTTCAACATAATGATGTCACACTGTTACAATGGCCACCAAGATCTCCCGACTTATCCCCAATTGAGCACGTGTGGGATATGATGGGTAGCAGATTGCTCAATTTGCAACGTCCTCCTCAGACTCTAGAAGCACTTCGAGAGGAGTTGGTGGTTGCCTGGAATGAGATACCACAGGAGGACATTGACCACCTGATCAGAAGCATGCCTAGGCGCGTTGGAGAATACGTAGCACATCAGGGTGCAACCACACATTATTAAAGGTCAAAGGGCTTTAAAACAGTGCAATCATTTTTAAATTTTTATCATTTACTTATTATGCTTCATTAAGTACTTATACAAAATTTTATTAAAATAAAACCATTTAAACTGGGTGTTCGGATTTATATGTCACTTAGTATATGTATGCTGATGATACTCAGTTGTACTACAAATTTAAAGTTGATGATGTTCAGCGTGCAAAGCAACAAATTTCCTGTGACTCGTATATAATCTTTCACGTATATTAAAACAACATTATTTATTATTATAAATAGAGTCTTATTGTTTCTCAATAAAAAATTAAGTTCTTCTACTAAAAACCGCATGTACTTAGTTGGTTACCAAAATTGCCACCCCTGCATGAAACCTGCGCTTCTCACTGCTGGGACCTCCGTCAGATGGAATTAGCCGTAAAAGAGATGCAATGACCTTATGCAGCTTGTCAGTGGTGCGCCTTTATGTTCAATTATGTACGGATCTTTGTCAAGCCACACTCTTAAACACCTAACTGCATTTTGGCTCTGAATATCTGAATTATCAACATTAACAGCTAATGAAGGTATATTCTGTCTGCCAGAAAGTATAGCTACTTCTGTCTTCGCAAGAGCTAATTTTCTTCCATCCATATAGTAATTCTCGCGATTCCGTATACCGAGAGTCCTTCAAGTTTATCTCACTGCTTATTAGTCACTATCATCGCAATGTCATCAGCATGTCCTATCGAACGGTCCCGGCAGCATCTGTTCCAAAGCAACGGTCCTAGGAACCAAGTCAATTTAAGTACAAATAACTCTGTACGGCCTAATAACAATAGCTGGTATTTACTTGTCGGATTTTTCTTGCCGAGTACCAGATTTTTTGTACTTTATAAGAATCTGCAAGCATTTTAAATTCTTGTGGACTGTGGACCATTATCAACATGTATGATTTAAGAACCTCTAAAAATAAAGAAAACTGGATTTCCTAAAAGTTCTACAATGGCGGTTGAAGTTGCTTTAGACATTGTACGGACTATTACAATTTTACCGAACCAGTTCCAAACTTTTAAAGGAAATGGCCGATTTGAGAACGAGGACATGGTCCTAAAGTATCCGCTGATATCATTTGAAATGGATACTTAACGTCTTTATATTCATCCATCAATTCAGCTTGAGGGAAATGACTAGGCTTACATTGTGAACAAACTTTGCATATAAGATTGAACTGATTGTTTAAACTTTGACCAATAACAGATAGCTGATATACGAGCGTCTTAAATACTCGTAAATGACCAGAAGCTGGACTATGATACATTTGAGCAATTTAGATCTATTTGGTACAAAAAATTCGATTTTCCAGTCAGTATAAGTTACTGCAACGCATTATCAGAGATAATATGTTTATAAAGAATATTATTTTCTAAAGTAAAAGATAGATGGCATCGGTCGGTTATCTTCAACATTACGGATCATTTTGCAAGCCACCCATCCGGACATCGTCATGCAACATCCAAAACTGAAATACGAGCATTAAGGTCATTTTTATGTTAAAATCATCTGCTACAAGTATGCATTTGCCTTTACGGCGAGTAATTTTGAAAGCGTATGAAAACAAACAACACAACCATCTACATAATCTCGGTGAAGGTGCTTCCTGAGACTGCAAGCTTGAAAAATTTTGTGTGATCTACATAATAACGAAAAGGTTCAATACTATGAGTGTCTGCAAGGTGCCCTTTTTCTGTTGCAGAGTATTTTCCTTGGTATTTGTTGAGCGATCTACTGAAATAACCTATAGCATTATCAAAATCATCTTCCCCTTACCTCCAGCACCAGTGCTTGATATGTCGCAACAGATATATCGGGTGTTCGATGAATAGATATTTTAGAGGGTGATTTCTTGTTAAAACATATGAAACAAATTCTCTATAAGCATGATTCCGGAAATGTGTAGAGTTTTCAAGGTACAGGGTGATAAATTAAGATCAAATCAATTAATATCTTAAAAAATATTTACTTGATTCTGTTGAAATTTGGCAATATTATTTGTTGTATTAAGAGTCTAATTTAGCCCTTAATGGACTAAGATTATTAGGTCCAATAGCGTCCCATGGGACACCTTAGCAAATATTATTATAACATATAAATATGCGTTACT